AGGGTTGAACAATAGTGGTACCCCATAAGCTAAGTGTGCTTGTGTGGGTGATCTGATACACTGTGCCCTCTGGAGATAGGGAACAAAAGATTGTATACGTCTCCACAGGACAATTTCTATGAATACGTCTTCACAAGATTTTCATGAAATAGATACATGGATTTTACTCGAAAACTAGGAATTTCCAAGGTGGGTTGATCAGTCGCAAATGAAATAGTTTTAGAAAAGGGATATTAAATCCAAATTTCAGCCAAGAAACTTTACTACACGAGAACAAAGAAATGTCTCCACAAGAATACAAATTTCAGTATTTGTGTGGGTGTTATGTTAATTCTTGTCAGCACCATAACTTGAGATATACTTTATCTTAGCAACTTGAAATTTGGTTTGTGGAATGTTCTTGATAGTCTTAACAAGCCTATTGATTTTGAGCCCGACAGGTCAAAGGTCAAGGTCACTATTGCTAAAACAAAAGAAATCTTGTCATCGCGACAACTTGAAAAATACTTTAACTTAGGAACTTGAAATTTGGTTGTGGGTTGTTCTTGCTAGTCTTAAAAAGCATATTGCTTTTGGGGCCGACAGGTCAAAGGTCTAAGCCAATATTGCTAAATCAATAGAAATATTGTCAGCACGAATGCTTGAAAAATACTCTACTGAGGAACTTCAAATTTGGTTTGTGGGTTGCTCTGGATAGTCTTATCAAGCCCATTAATTTGGGGGCTGACAGGTCAAAGGTGAGGTCACTATTGCTAAAACAATAGAAATCTTCCATTTTGGTTAGGGAAACTGACTTTATAAAAAAAATTGCCAGCATGTCAGGGGGATTGCGCAAGTCTCACCTGCAGTATTTTTAATTTTCACAAAATTCTGTATACACCCTATAATGAGGCTCGGGATGCAACTGACCAATTTTGGCTGTCATTGGATGAAGACTGTGAGAGAAGTAGCGTTTGTAATTTTCAATAAAATTATCCCTAGTGACCACTAGGTGACCTTTGACCCGGATATGACCAAACCCTGCCAAATGAAGCTCGGGTCATTTGTCAATATGGCCAAGTTTGAGTTGACATCAGACCAAGAATTTGAGATCATTGTAAAGAAGAAAAACGGCTAAAATACAGTACCTTAGTTTTTCCAACGACTAAGGTAAATCCCACACAACTTCCAGCGGTGGGAGTCCTCAGGAGACCCACTGCTGACCAAGATCCTGGTTCTTCAGGGCATTATGACGACGGGTCCTTAAACCCCCCAGGAAGGGATCAGTCCGACAACAGAGTCAAGGCCACTGCGCCCTTCTTAAAGGCAAAAAAAAAGTTGGCGATACTATCGACTTTCAATGCCTTCACCATATCAGGGAGGAGTTGAGGTGTGAGGAACTGGCAGGACGAAGTTGGAACTGCGGAATTGACATTCTGGGGATCCAGGAATATCACCATGTCCATGAAAATGAAGAGGTCAGGTTCGGAGAGGTGATGAGCTTCATCACATCATGTGCCTGGAGACAGCCAACCACAATATCTGCTCAACTTTCTGTCCGCTACACCTAGCACACTAATGAGTCCAACCGAAATGGTCAAAACCTAGTCAACCTTCTACAAGGACAGGACCTCTAGCAAACACACAGTTCGAGAAGCGATAAGGAAAGCTCTTGACGTTCCAAGACAGGGCTACTAGAATCCAAGCACCAGATCGACTTTATCCTCATCAGGCATAAATGGCGCAGCAGTGTTCTCAATGCTGAGGCGTACAGCAGCTTCAACACTGTCATATCAGACCATCAGGTGGTATCTGTGTGAGTGAGGCTTAGCTTGAGACAACCAAAGTCAACTGGCCCTAAAGAGAAGATTGACTGGAAGTACTTTTCTTCCGACATGAGCTGCAGGACCAGTACATAGTGGAGGTGGTCAACCACTTCCAAGCACTGGGAAAGGAGGAGGGAGGAGTGTGAAGAGGAGGAGGACATGGGAAACAAGGAGAGTGAGCATAAAACCGCATTACCAGCACTTCATGACTAACTCTGAGGCAACGACGAGTCAACCCAAGGAGAAACATGTGAAAAAAAGCTGCCACTCCTACCACCCTGATGTTGTCACAGCACGGAAGGAAGTTGAAGAAAGCCATGAGAAGTACATCCGGGGCAAGTCTGACAAGCTCAAGGACAACTTCAAGGCAGCCGAAGCTCAGCTTTTCGACTGAGGTGTATGACAGGCTGAGGGAGGAGCTTGAGTGCAAGATCAGTGAGGTGGTGGCAGCAAGTGACGGAAAACGATATGGAGAGGCATGGAGGATTGTGATAGAGATCAGTGGTAGGAGGAAATCCAAGGCAAGCCAAGTCAGCTGTCCTTCACCCGAGAAACGTGTAAAGACTTGGTTCACCCACTTCAAGAACCTGCTAGGTGACCTCCCCCCCAACGATCGCTGATAAGGACAAAGACATACAGACTGTCCTCATGAATACATGTATTGATATCGATGATGGACCCTTCAAAATGGAGGAGCTTTAGGAAGGTGAAGACGTCTCTCAAGTAAGGGAAGAGTGCATGTCCGGACAGCATCCCTCCAGAGGTGCTAAAAAAAGAGTGAGCTCAATGACATCGTACCGAAGTTTTTAAACATGGCATTACTGATGAATGACAAACCTACCCAAATGGCTCTAATCCAACATCATCCCCTTCCCAAAATCCGTTAACCTGATGAAGACCGACAATAAAAGTGGGATCTGCATCACGTGTCCTAGCCAAGATCTACAACCACCTGATTCTCAACCGTATCAGAGGACGGCCATACACCCCAAGCTGAGATTCAACAAGAATGGCTTCAGAGAAGAGTACAGTAGTCACACAAATCCTGGCCCTCCAAGCATCATTGAGGTCAAGAAGAACAATCTGCCAGCTGTACTGACTTACATTGACTTCAAGAAAGCCTTTGACTCATCCATCAAAGCAAAATGATCAAGATCTTGAAGGCATGTGGAGTCCTCCCTCGACCTCTCAAAGCCATTGAGGCTATACATGTACCTACACTGTCACCAGCGCCAAAGTTGTCATCCCCGATGGAGACCATTCTTCTCTACAGTAGCGAGACGTGGACCCTCACAGCAGGCCAGACCAATTGATGGGTGCTACACCCGGATGCTCAGGATGGCACACAACATCAGCTGGAAGGCCCATATGACGAACACCGAGCTCTACGGCAACTTGCCAAAGGTCTCAGAGAAGGTCAAGTCAAAATATCTGAGTCTCGCTCAGTGGCCTAACTGTCCGTCCCCCCCCCCTTTGGAAATCTTATAATGAACAAAAAAATCTACACTGCACTGTCAAAATAAGCCCTTTGACTGGTGTTCATATCTAAAGGTAAGTAATGTATCAACCTGTATTAGTACGCATACGTCATGTATACATTTTTGTCATGCCAAAACTGTTGGGCAAACTACGTCCGCAATAATTATGAATGGTTGTATATAAAGTCGAGTGCATTCACTTTGAATTTCATGAACACATGAAGCTCGCTGTTAGTGAAAGTTTTTTCGTTCTACAAGTCACTCCTGGACTTTTTTTCAAATCCGATCGACTTCAAACCTTGCACCCACTTAGAACACCTTCTGAAAATTCAGGCTGAATCATGACATCATCATGACGTCATCACGTGTCGCGTGACGTCATCCTAAAGTGCATATTTTATCTTCACAAACGGAAGTCCGATTTGGTTCAAAATCGGTATGGAAGTATTCCGAGACGTTATATAGACAAAAATTGCAGTGACATCACGAAAAAGTCATCGTGTGATTTTATATGAATTATTCAATTTTGGATCTCATCAACGGAATGTGGTAAATTCAAAATACTTTTTGTAAAAGGTTTGTTAGTTCATAGATAGATGCACATAATTTCATTAAATGTGTGACGTCATCATGACTTCATCAAAAACATATTTTTTTATATTCACATATAAGGGTATGTTTGATCGTTAAAAAGTTTGGTGGGTAGGTAGGTATTGATAAAAGCATTCAAAATCTGAAGTGACGTCATCGTGACGTCATCATTGATTTGTGTTAATTTTAACAATTTTAATATTTTCTTCTAATTACTAAAAGTTACATAAAATATAATCTGATCGACTTCAAACCTGGCACACACTTAGAACACCATCTGAAGATGTATGCCAGATCATGACATCAACATAACGTCATCACGTGTCACGTGACGTCATCCTAAAAGTGCATATTTTAAGGCCCAATATCTACAGAACCTGGTCCGATTGGGTTCAATCTCGGTCTGCATGTATTCCGGAACATATAATAGACAAAAATACAGTGACGTCACGATGACGTCATCATGTGATTTTATATGATTTGTTAAATTTTTGGACCTTTTCGTCATATCCCATCAACGGATGGTTGTAAAATAATTTAAATCTGAGGCCAGCGGTACCTAGTTATGCATGTGCTTTTTTGACACTGCAGCTAATGAATAATTTCAACAGCTGTTCGGATTGACCGTACAAAAATGTGCGTTTGCACCGGATACGTGTATAGGCCTACAGCTTGTGTCGCATCGTTGCGAGAACACAATCATGAATGGCACGTGAAACAAGACTTGGAAAACCACGGGTTTTGCGATACAGTGAGAGGAACATACACAAAATAGCACAGATCATGATAGAACATAGGAAATGTAGTGTAGCCAGGCTGGTCTGGCAAAATAATTGATTGTCCTGGAAAGGATTTAATTTCATTATCCTTTGTTCTTACATAAATATATTCATAACTTAACTGGACAGTGTTTTATAAACTGTCTACCTGACCACTCTGCATTTGTAACAAACACGAATCTCTAGGTTTATATTGATTTTCAAAGATTAAATCTAGAAATCTTAAATCGCCTGTAATTTGACACCCGATGATGTCATCATGACGTCAGAGTAATATGCACTTGATATATGTTGAAAGTTATAAGTTCATACCATAAAATGATTAGGAAAAAACCCGCGGAGAAGTATTGTCGTGAAAAGAAAGAAAGATTTATCAGAATAATTCTAAATAGTGGACAACAACATAGATAATTCTATAAAATAAATAGCAATGTCAAGATCATAAAATACAATCATAGTCATACATTTTAGACACGGGGTTGAAGATTTACTACACCTCTGGGTATTTCTTATCCTGACAATGTAATTTATGTATGTTTTGTATTTTTAACTACATGAAATTGTTGAAATTGTAATCTTTCACTCAGATGTAATAAGTTATCTTATCTGCAAGGCTTCGTCTCGCCCGCTTAGCGGGAAAATGCCCACTTCAGTGGCGTATCCAGAGTGGGGGGGGGGGGGGGGGGGCGCAGAGGGGGCACTCGGCCCCCCTCTGGATTCTTTGTACAGCATTTATTTTAGTAAATGGTAAGAGAGTTCTGACATCAATCCAAAAAGAAAACCTGCTAAAAAGCCATCACAATGCGCCGTGAAAATGGTTACATAAGTTTGCAGTATGCATAATAATGGTCAGTTTTGAAGAGCGCCCCCATTTTGAAGGTGGTCGTGAAGGTGGTGGTCGTATGGCTACAATTTTGCTGGAAACAAATAAACATTTTGGAAACATTTTTCAAATTGACGATTACAATCAATAAAATAAAAAAATAGATCTATTTATGTGGACAAACAAAGGGCTGTTTCGGCAATTATTTTGGTATCATCTGGCATGTACAGTTACAAGTAGAAGTTCCATCCAGGTAGGGTGTATAGTTCTGTAGATATTGGGATTGTACAATTGCAAGTTGTGTCAAATAAAAATTAAAGAATTCAATAAACGACACGGTTGTTGTTTTTAGGGAATAACAGTGTGAGGAGCCAGTCTTCAATGCGGGATGACCAGGTTGGGGAATGGCCGCTGTTAATGGACAGAGCCTGTTACTCCTTTTAAAAGAAATAAACAGTTAAAATGCTCCAATTTTGTGACCTTTCTTTCTGCGATAATTCCAGACTTTTTGTGTTTATGCTGAGGGGCCATATTTTAGCTTTAATATGCATGCAATATGCTTCACCCTGTATATTCAATGCTTTATTAGTCATCTTCATTGCATTACAACAGATGTACAGGGTATAAACCTCTGCTGCCATATCAAAACAAATTACAAGAAGTTTTTTTCATAGGAACCTGGAATATTGTTTACATATATTCATTGTGTCCAGTATTACAAAGATGCTCGGTAAAGAAAAAAGTAAATTTTTCCGTGGGCGACGTGTTTACCAAAAAAAGAAGAAAAAAAAGAAGCAAATTCCAGATCCACGCTTTCATTATTAACATCCTCAGTACGAACATGTCGTGTTAAGACTTATTCCACAAGAGCATAGCAACTGTGTTTCACAGGCCCGCGTACCGGTAAGTCCTCACACAATGGTGGTTGAGTGCATGTGTACCATGTGTACTGCTGTATTGTTACAAGCTACCACAGGACTGTTGTTTATTTTGCCAATCATTGGCCTACATGATCCTGGAATGATCGATATCAATGCTGGTTTAGGGGCCATTTATTCAACAATATCTGTCAATTCTTTGCAAGCCTCGCGAATATTAATAAGTTTCCCATTTACTATGGTGTGCAGTAAAAATTTGCAGCATCGCCTCCTTCACGAGTTATTGCTGGCTTCCAATCGTCGATACCGAGACCCGTGCAAGTCACGCCGAGTTACGTTAATGATGTATGCTAATATGCACTTCGTCAGCATTGTTGCACCAAAATCGGCCAACCTGAAAACCATGTACATGTGCGTGAGTTTGGTCAGCCAAAAATCCTTGTCAAAATTTCTCTTGGAGGTAGTTCAAGATGTCACACAAGACTTTGCAACGATAGATTAAGCTGAATTTCAGAATATACTGAAATGATATCAATGTTCAGCTACTCCTGAAGTAACAACTTGAGGGGACTCCTAAAAATTGAGATAAATACATAGATTCGGGAACATTTTCGAATGATTTCTTCTCAACTTTAAGGTCAGTTTTACCAGTAACCAGTATCGACGTTACAGCAATCGATGACAGCAATTTTTTCACTGACATGAAGTTTAGAATTTCTTCTTCTGTTATAATTTTACATTTCAATCATACTGAGCATATTTTCTGAGAAACACAACATTCAAAAAGCCATTTTTTGGGGGTGCATGAATTTCACTGCTCTGTTATAGCGTCCAAGTACATATTGGGATTAACTTGTTTAACAACAGCGATGCTTAGGCCTTCACAACCACATGGCTGTGTAGCTGTATATATAGGCCTTTGAAAAATGGATCTTTAATGTGGTGTCACGTAACATGTGACGATGTCATCACACCCTACAGTGTTCATCTAAACACAACCAAAAAATAAGAAAGTTTACATTCATTGGAGGGACATAATTTTGAATCTGATCATTTAATAATAACGTCCTTTGTATAGACCTTTGGGGAATGTTGTTAAGCTACCAATCATCCAACACTAACAACAGTTTTTGAAAAATTATGCAGTTTGAAAAGTTTTCAAAATGCAGCATTTTTCATAAATTGTTGTCAATCTTGGATGATATACAGTCTTTAGTAGCAAATGGGATATCAAAACGTAGCTAACTAAATTTCCCAAAGGTCTATATGAATGACTTCATCATAAGACAATTAGATTCAAAATTACGAGCCCTCCAATGAGTGTGGATTTTCACTTTGTGGTATACCTGCATGGTCATACCAAGTTACAAGCAATTGGACACATACATGTATGTGATGTCATGTGACACATGATGAGGTTATGATGACATGAGAAGTTCATGTTCGGCCCAAATCTACAATAGTTGGTTGATGTCTCTGCCAAATCAGATTAATTAAAGTACCCAAATTGCCGGGCAGGGAAAAAAGGTGTTTAAATGCTGTTGACAGGAGTCGGGGGGGGGGGGGGGGGGAGATCTTACCTGAAACTAACACTGTTTCGAAACAATTGTCTGGAAACAATGGCTGTTTTAGAAAGTAGGCCTACATGAAATCCGAAACATCCAAATAAATCACACCCCCAAAAAAGAAGCTTTTTTGCATCTTTGTGGGAGAGAAAAGTGGACGGGGACGAGAAACTTGCTGATTTTTTTTTTGACTGGCCTTGATAATTTGTAAGACATAACTCCTCTATATACATGCATTTATTGCAGCACAAAGACTGCATCTGCAAACTAAGGTCAGATACAGACTTTGTCATTCATCTCTGACACATCCTTGATCAAACTCTTAGTACTTGTACATCCATATGTGGATGATTAACAGTCTCCTTGCATCCATCTAAGACTTGTAAGGTTCAATGCTTGCCAAATTGGCTGATCATTTTCTCTTCATTGCTCGTTTGCCCTCTCCTTTTTTGGGCGGGGCCTTCCCTTTAAGACGAGCAACTCTCCTCATCTCAGCACGGAAATCAGCATGTTCATCCCTGTCAAAGACAAACACCAGGAAAAGCAATCAGGAAAAATATGCAAATAGTGTCTTAAGTTTGACGGTCACTGAAAATGGTAGAGCAGCACCTTTGCAAAGAATAACAATATACCTGTATTTAACCAGTTCAGGCTAGGATTATTTTGACATGACTGGACCAAGGCACAGGTAGCTGACACATATTTTCCAGCCTTAGTCATTGCGTGTTTATCCGTCATCTGTTCCGAATTCCACAAAACCTTTGTGTGTACAAAAACAAGTTGATGACATAATTCACATATGAGGCCTGTTACTCCTTTTCAGAACAATCACAAATGGAGTTCTTTGGGACATAGGCGTCGCGAGGGAGGGGGGGGCGCTTGTTTTGTGCACACACCAAAACAGCAATTTTTTTTGGTTTTTTTCCCTTCTTTTTTCCTTTTTCCCCCTTCTTTTCCCACATCGACTTCAAACCTGGCACACACTTAGACCACCCTATGTGGCCCGTTACCACGAAACCCGGACAAAGTAGCAAAAAACAACAATTGAGGTTTTGGTATTTTCAAATTCTCCACTTATTCAGATTTTCAATGATATGAAGTTTTTATTGTTTATTCTTCCCTATAATCCCATGAAAAGTGATTCTGACCCCAGCATTGCCCGTCCGATAAAAATGTTATTACGAGAAAACCAGCTTTGTGTGCACCGGAAGAAATCTCAACACGCACACAGTGAATGCAATGTACCGCATGATGAGTGCACTCTGCAAGGTCATTTCAAACATTCATTGCAACCACCAAGATCCTATTATTGGATTACCCATCGCGGTAGAATCGCGGTAGAATGGCATCAACGCAGCTTGTGAAATATTGTCCAATTACATAATGTACAAATGGACGCTTTTGCTAATTTATAACACTAAATTCACTTTTACACAGCCCAATATTTTAACACAGTCGAAACAGCTACGTGTTTGTCCACAAACACAATTCTAGTTATAGTTTGAAATTATTCAGATTAATCCATGATCAGCAGATCCATGATCAGCAGGAGGGATCATGCTGGCTATCTTCTCGTGGTGATCTCCGTTACGGCTCAAGCTCACAAGCTCACAAGTCTGCAAAGCTACAGCCAACCAAAGCCAGCAACACAACTCAACCTACGCGATATCGCTAAGGAATGTCAACCATCTCAACCGCCAATCAAGGTTAGATCCATCCAATCTCACCTTATTGGCCAACGAATCCGGGGCGTTCCCCTAAAACGAGACAATGTCTACTACCGAGATTCGTATACTCCAACTTAATGTCGAAGGACTCACCAGAGCCAAACGTGATCTCGTCCGACACCTGGCTGAAAAACATCAAGCCAACATCATACTCCTGCAGGAGACCCACATGCAGGATGAACAAAAGCTCAAAATTGAAGGCTTCAACACTATAGAGTTTATCCCCAGCAAACACCATGGGATTGCCTCATATGCACGCGATGGTATCACTGCCAAGTTGGACCAAAAGTCGACTGCAGACAGCCCAACTGAATGGATAACCATCGTTGCCAATAACCACCAAGTTGTAAACCTCTACAAGCCGCCCCCATCGACGGTCACCCAATGCAACCTGCCTCTGGTTACAGTCCCTGCCATCGTTTGTGGTGACTTCAACAGCCGCAATACAAACTGGGGTTTCCGTGACACCAACCTGAATGGTGATGTCATCGCCAACTGGGCTGAAAGGCTTGATCTCCACCTGCTTTACGCCTCAAAAGACCACCTCACCTTCTTCTCTGGTCGGCACAAGAAGTGGTCGAACCCAGACCTGAGCTTCGTCTCCTCCAATATCTCACAAAACTGCGAACGCATCATTCTTGACAAATTCCCAAGATCCGGACATTGCCCTATCGTTATCGGCACAAAGATCGAAATAAAGATCACCTCCCTCAACAAAAAGAGGTGGAACTTTAGAAGGCTGACTGGAACAAGCTCACATCCTTAACAGACGACCTCACCTTCGACCTCCCAAGCCCATCCGGGAACGCCTCCAAAGTATGCACCGCCTTCACCAATATGCTCTCATCTGCTGCAAAGTCATCCATTCCTCGCGGAAGACGTGGCCAGTATATTCCATGCTGGGATGCTGACTGTGACCGATTACTCAAGGAGTACAACGACGCGAGTGACACCGAGAAAGCAGACAAAGCTGATATACTTATGCATACCCTCGGTGAAAAAAGGCGTACCAGATGGGAAGAGATGGTAACCACCATTGATTTCACCCACTCCAGCCGGAAGGTGTGGACCACGATCAACCGACTCACTGGTCGAGGCAGTAAACCAAAGCCCTGTCCAGTTCCTGCAAACTCAATTGCATCTGTCCTTGTGGACAACGGAAGATGGAAAGACCGCTCAACTGATGCCAAAAACCACAACCGAAGAGTCAATGAGGAAATAAAAGAACTTATCTCCACCCAACGCGCCTCAAGCGACCTGTCAGGGCCAATCTCCAAAGAAGAACTCATGGAAGCCATTCTCTGTCTGAGGAATGGGAAAGCGCTGGGCATAGACCTGGTACACTCTGAGTTTCTGAGACATACAGGACCTCAGGCTGTCGAGTGGCTCCGCCTCTTCCTAACCAACTGTATGGATACACTGTCGATCCCAGCGGTCTGGATAAAAGCGAAAGTTATCGCCGTACTCAAGCCCAAAAAAACTGCTGACGAGGCGAAGAGCTACCACCCCATCTCTCTCTTGTGTATGACTTTCAAAGTAATGGAGAGGGTAATTCTCGCACGCATCAGTGACCTCATAGAACTGAGCCTACCACACGCGCAAGCTGGTTTCCGTAAGGGAAGATCTACCACGGACCAGATCTCACGCCTCGTCAATGATATCGAAGCCGCATTCCAGAGAAAAGAGAAGCTTGGGGCAGTCTTCGTAGACCTCACAGCCGCATATGACACCGTTTGGCATCGCGGCCTGTACCTGAAGCTGCTAAGAACTATACCAGATGTAAAGCTTGTGCAATTCATAATGACTCTGTTGCAGAATCGTACGTTCTTTGTTGAGACCTCCAGTGGCGACCAAAGCAGAAAGCGATGCCTACGGAATGGCCTTCCTCAGGGGTCAGTGCTCGCACCCATCTTATATAACATCTACACTGCCGACCTCCCGAACACCACCTTGGAACAGTATGTCTACGCCGATGACAGCGCCCTAGGTATTACTGGAAAAACCTTTGAGGAAATCCAGCAGCCACTCGAAGATGATCTCTCCACCCTGTGCAGCTACTACCATCACTGGCACCTGAAGCTGAGCGAGTCAAAAACCAGAGATGCCACAAATATATCAATAAAAAGCCTGAAACACTACTAAAAAAGCTGAAACTACCCTTACCCCCTTTTCAAAAATGTGTTTTCTGGATGTTTCAGACCAAATCCAGCACTTTTAATTTGTCACACTTTTTAAAAAAAAAACTGAATTCAGGTTTAAACCTGAAAAGTGGCATCTCTGAAAAACAGTATGCTCCATCTTCCACCTAGCAAACAGACTGGCTAAGAAGGAGCTTACCATCAACCTCAATGGCAGCAAACTTAAATTTGACCCCCAGCCGGTCTACCTTGGCATTACGCTCGACCGCAGCCTAAAGAGAAAGTAGCAGAGAAGACATCAAAGTGAGTGAACATCCTCAAAAAGCTTGTTGGCACCCACTGGGGCGCTAATTTTGCAACCCTCCACACATCTGCTCTTGCCCTGGCATACTCAACCGCAGAGTATGCAGCCCCCGTATGGTCGCAGAGCCGCCACACAAAAGCAATAGACACAGTGCTCAATGACATCCTACGACTTATCTCCGGTACCATGGCACCCACACCAGCAAGCTTACTGCCCATGGTCACAGGCATCCCACCCGCGAGCATAAGACGTGACCACCTGACTCTCAAGCTTTCTCAGAAAGCTAGCACGCCTTGTAGCCTAGTGCCCTACATCTCTGACAACTGCCCTCCATCAACCGCCAGCACTTCGTAACCCGTGCTTGTGAACTAAAGAACGGCCCCTCACTCTCCCCGTCCTGGGTAGCAGACCGATGGAGAGAGCAGTGGGAGATCATGACCACCAGCCTGCACGAGTTCATGCCTGTACCATCAACAAAGCCAGCAGGGCACAACCTCGAGCGCAAGCCCTGGGTTAGGCTCAACCGACTACGGACCGGGTGGGGAAAAACCAACTCGTTCCTCCACCTAGTCGGCACCAGAGCCGACGACACCTGCCCCTGTGGGTCCCCACAGACGACCACGCACATCCTACAAGAGTGTCCAATCTTCAGCCCTCCCAACGGACCTGCCAGCCTGATCGACCTTGACGACACCACACTGGAGTGGTTGAGAACTGACATTCCGGTGTGATACTGCACCTCCAGGAACGAGTTACACGAACGACGAGCAGATTTAGAGTACAAAGCTTGAATTATTCAAATCTTGCAAAAAATAAGACAAGTACAATTTTTAGATGATGAAACAATATGTTGACCATTCTCCACAATTTGCTGGGTTTAATGATGAGAGCATACAAAACAAGTTAGGTGTGTTTACAAACACAAATGCCCCGCAACCGTGACTGTTCCCATGACATAACACCACTCTTTTAACATCAACTTACATGTACCTTGGTCACATGGAACGTTCATTGACAGCATTAGTGTCTTCTGTAGGTTTTATATGAATTAATCCCTAATCCCTATGATCTCAGAATAAATACAAGATTTCTATTGTTTTAGCCACTGTGACCTTGACCCTTGACCTTTCGACCCCCAATGCGATAGGCCTATTTGGATTACCAAGAACGATCCACAAACCAAATTCGAAGTTCACATGTAAAGTATTTCTCAAGTAATCGCGCTGACAAAATTTCTTTTGTTTTAGCCACTGTGACCTTGACCCTTGACCTTTTGGCCCCAAATGCAATAGGCTTCTTAGGATTGCCAAGGACAATCCACAAACCAATTTGAAGTTCATATGTAAAGTATATCTCAAGTGATCACGGTGACAAAATAACTTTTGTTTTTGCCACTGTGACCTTGACCCTTGACCTTTTGGCCCGAAATGCAAAAGGCTTCTTAGGATTACCAAGAACAATCCACAAACCAAATTTGAAGTTCATATGTTAAGTATTTCTCAAGTTATCGCGCTGACAAGATTTGTCCGGACACACACACACACACCCAGACTTACGTTACATACCTTGTGTGGACATTGCTTTGTTTTCGTGTAGTTAAGAAAACTCGGTACAAAAAATAACTTTACTTAAACTGTGAAAACTCTTTTAACCCAATTTTTTTTCTATGATTCCCTATAGTGTTTCTCTTCATTCTGCTACTGATAAACCTAACCCAAAAATGCCTCTAAACCTGTTTTCCAGAAAGGGCAAAACCTTATGTGGACACGGCTTAGTCCACATAAGGTTAACACAACCTGCATTATGTGGACCTCTTTTGTTCACAAGTCCACATAGGGTATGTAACACAAACTCACACCCCCCCACACACCCACCCACCCACACACACACCCACGGAAACCCCCCCCCCCCCACCCACCCACGGAAGGACAAGGCGGAAACAGTATGCCCCTTTGGCTTCGCCGCGGGGCATAAAAACGAGTCAGTACTAAGGGCATTAATAAATTAATTATCTAATTAGGATATCTGACCAACGCATGATGAATTAGAAAAAAGACATTTTATTTCTTTGGAGCTTTTAGTGTAATCCTAAAAAAAAATATATGTTAAATTGTTATGTATGGGACATCGCTCATTAAGAATATGCCTAATTTGCATTATTAATGAGGTGAACAAGTTTTCTTGTGTATTAAAAGGGCACATGATTGACTGTTCATGTCCTTTGAGGTGTGATTTCACACGTAAATTGACATTGAAATTTGAGCTGAATAGAAAATTCTGCAATTTGAGGGGACCTTCTCTTGGAATTGCCAAGATCCAGTGTGAAAGGCAATGTTGTAGACAGTATATGTTTTGTACTACATGCACCCACAGATGTACCTGTAAAGTCCCACAAACTGGAGCCTTCTCATCATCTTGTAGACTTCGGTGTGCGGTGGGTAGTACTCTGTAACCTCTGGTTTGTGTTCTCGTGGTTTCTCTCTCATTAGTTGTACAACTTTCATTGACTGAGAGGTGGTTGGTCTGAAAACATCCCCAAAAATACGGGCACTCAGGCGTGCCATGCGTCGTGCATAGAGAGATGACATGCCGAGGTCCTGTAAGGCTGTACATATTGACAATGACATTTACATTATTTTAATAAATATCATTGCATTACCAAAAATTCATATTCATATTTACATAAAAGATCTAACGCTGTCTGATGTCTGTCTGTCTGACATCTGTGTGTTTCGTTTTTGTTATAACCCTAACCCTGCCAGACGCAACACAGTGCACCAGGTGGAAAAGAACTGGTGCACTTTGATGCATTCAGCTGCCAACACCAGTGCATGAATGGCCAGCTCTGAAACAATGAGAGCTAAGTCCCACTGAACAATGCCACAGTTGTATCTTGCTGCGTGCAGTGACCACGGACTCTGAGGCAGTGTGGCCTTGAGACTTTTCCCCTGATGGATCTTGCTACACTGGGCAGGCTTGTCACTTAGTCAAGTGTTGCATGTTGCTGTGCTTGGCAGGGTTCTAGCAAACATACCCTGGAGGGTTAGGGATAAAGACCTAAAGAAGTGTGGGAAGACACAAAATGCGAGGAAATGCAAGGGTTTATCGAGAGGCTTCACGGTTAGGAGATACAGAAAATGATGATTTCTTCTTTGTTTTTCTCTTTTTTTGCCACATTTGTGTCTTTCAGGCTTTCAATAGTGAAATGGTAGAAAATTATCTCTATGAAAACACACTCCACAAAGCATTGGTTTAGCTAAACATACTGTAACGTTGACAATAACACATTTTTCAAAATTGCTTCACCAAGGATTACCATGCCCACTTGGGTTAACATACAAATTGAGGTCAAAAACATCCAGCAATTGAAGGCGCACTGATCATTCCTCTCGGATTCACAGCAAAGAACGTTGTATGGTGCTAAATCCCTCAAGTTTACTCTAACTCCACCCAGCTAGCAGGTGCCGCGCGAAGCACGGCATCCCACTAGCATGGCTAGTGTAAAAATAATAATAGCTTCTGCATATAGTGTATTATTCAACTTTATAATATGTAACCCATTAATAGATTGTAGTCATTTGATTGGTGGAATTTTGTCACATGACATTCAATCATTTGCCCCATTTCTTTGACCAATATTCTGTTGTATGATATACGTCATACATCATGCAATTTGATTCCATTTACCATGCATTTTGGTTCCATTCATTCCGCTCTTTGCATCAATATTGCTCACGGAGCAAACAGTTTGCTATTGTTATTTTTCTTTATTAATTGGTTTATTATTATGTCTTTTTTTTTGCTGCCAGCAGAGGAATTGTAAAGAACATAAACAATGTGTTAACATTAATAACATAAACTTTACTTTACAAGGGCAGCAAGAGACTAAAATCGTATAAAAACAAGTCAGGTGTGTTTACAAACACAAATGCCCCGCAACCGTGACTGTTTCCATGACATAACACCACTCTAACATCAACTTACATGTACCTTGGTCAAATGGAACGTTCATTGACAGCATTAGTGTCTTCTGTAGGTTTTATATGAATTAATCCCTAATCCCTATGATCTCAGAATAAATACAAGATTTCTATTGTTTTAGCCACTGTGACCTTGACCCTTGACCTTTCGACCCCCAATGCGATAGGCTCCTTAGGATTGCCAAGGACAATCCACAAACCAAATTTGAAGTTCATATGTACAGTATATCTCAAGTTATCACGCTGACAAAATTTCTTTTGTTTTTGCCACTGTGACCTTGACCCTTGACCTTTTGGCCCCAAATGCAAAAGGCTTCTTAGGATTGCCAAGGACAATCCACAAACCAAATTTGAAGTTCATATGTAAAGTATATCTCAAGTTATCGCGTTGACAAAATTTCTATTGTTTCAGCCACTGTGACCTTGACCCTTGACCTTTCGGCCCCAAATGCAATAGGCTTCTTAGGATTACCAAGAACAATACACAAACCAAATTTGAAGTTCATATGTAAAGTATTTCTCAAGTTATCGCGCTGACATTTCTTTTGTTTTAGTCACTGTGATCTTGACCCTTGACCTTTTGGCCCCAAATGCAAAAGGCTTCTTAGAATTGCCAAGGACAATCGACAAACCAAATTTGAAGTTCATATGTTAAGTATTTCTCAAGTTATCGTGCTGACAAAATTTCTATTGTTTCAGCCACTGTGACCTTGACCCTTGACCTTTCGGCCCCATATGCAAAAGGCTTCTTAAGATTACCAAGGACAATCCACAAACCAAATTTGAAGTTCATATGTTAAGAATTTCTCAAGTTATCGCGCTGACAAGATTTGTCCGGACACACACACCCACCCACACATTCGTTTTTTTGCTATGCTTTCGAGGATTGGCTTTGTGTTTTCCTTTGTCCCTGTAATATAACACTCTCCCATAGACTAAGCACACAAACCTGCGTTCGAGGACAATAGGCACCTTCCTTCGAGGATCAATGGCCCCTTTGTGCTCCTTTTGTTGTCTGTCCTCAGGCGTAATGCCATGCAGGAACACCCACACACACACCCACCCACCCACCCACCCAGACTTGTTTCACATACCTAGTGTGGACTTTCCTTTCTTTTCGTGTAGTTAAGGAACACCAGTGGAAAAACTCATTTTTCTCAAACTGTGAAAACTCTTACAACCCAATTTTTTTCAATGATTCCCTTTAGTGTTTCTCTTCATTCTGCTACAGATAAACCTAACCCAAAAATGCCTCTAAACCTGTTTTCCAGAAATGGGGAAACACTGTGTGGACGTGGGCAAGTCCACACTTCGTCGCTGCTACCTACATTATGTGGACGTCTTTTGTTCGGAAGTCCACACTGCGTATGTAAGACAAGCTCACAAACCCACACACACACCCATACTTGTTTCACATGACTAGTGTGGACTTTCCATTGCTTTCGTGTAGTTAAGAAAAACCAGTGAAAAAAATCATTTTTCTCAAACTGTGAAAACTCTTTCAACCCAATTTTTTTTCTATGATTCCCTTTAGTGTTTCTCTTCATTCTGCTACAGATAAACCTAACCCAAAAATGCCTCTAAACCTGTTTTCCAGAAATGGGGAAACACTGTGTGGACGTGGGGCAAGTCCACACAACGTCGGTGCTACCTACATTATGTGGACGTCTTTTGTTCGGAAGTCCACACTGCGTATGTAAGACAAGCTCACCCACACACCCACCCACGGAAGGACAAGGCGGAAACAGTATGCCCCTTCGGCTTCGCCGCGGGGCATGAAAACAAGTCAGGTGTGTTTACAAACACAAATGCCCCGCAACTGTGACTGTTCCCATGACATAACACCACTCTTTTAACATCAACTTACATGTACCTCAGTCACATGGAACGTTCATTGACAGCATTAGTGTTTTCTGTAAGTTTTATATGAATTAATCCTTATTATCTTAGAATAAATACAAGATTTCTATTGTTTTAGCCATTGTGACCTTGACCCTTGACCTTTCGACCCCCAATGCAATAGGCTTCTTGGGATTGCCAAGGACAATCCACAAACCAAATTTGAAGTTCATATGTAAAGTATTTCTCAAGTTATCGCGCTGACAAAATTTCTTTTGTTTTAGCCACTGTGACCTTGACCCTCGACCTTTCAGCCCCAAATGCAAAAGGCTTCTTAGGATTTCCAAGGACAATCCACAAACCAAATTTGAAGTTCATATGTAAAGTATTTCTCAAGTTATCGCGCTGACAAGAAGATTTATCCGGACACACACACCCACCCATACTTGTTTCACATGACTAGTGTGGACTTTCCATTGCTTTCGTGTAGTTAAGAAAAACCAGTGAAAAAACTAATTTTTCTCAAACTGTGAAAACTCTTTCAACCCAATTTTTTTTCTATGATTCCCTTTAGTGTTTCTCTTCATTCTGCTACAGATAAACCTAACCCAAAAATGCCTCTAAACCTGTTTTCCAGAAATGGGGAAACACTGTGTGGACGTGGGCAAGTCCACACAACGTCGGTGCTACCTACATTATGTGGACGTCTTTTGTTCGGAAGTCCACACTGCGTATGTAAGACAAGCTCACACCCACCCACCCACATACACAAATTCTTGTTCCGTAATTGTGGGGACTTACACTCGTTGCCACGAGGTATTTGTGGGGACCGAAAATGCTATGGGGACAGCAGAAAGTCCCCATAACTCAGTCCTAATTTGCCTAACAATAAAAAACTTCCCCATAACGTGGTGTATACCTACCCACGCACCTGTGTTTTACTATACATCAAGATTTTTTTACATTCATCAAGAGTAAAGACTATTTAACAGGTCCATGTAAAGATAATTTATACTGTTCACAAAAGATATGAATTCATTACAACAGTACGACCAATACAAACCAAAATTTGAAGAGGAAAAAAAAGAGTTCTAGCGCCCAGTTACTGTTTCTAGCATCGGATCAGTTTACCTTCGCCAACTAAAATATCGTGTGAATGTAAATTACCAGGAACAACAAACGTCAATGATAACAGCCAATCACAGAACATTTCCAGCAAAATGACATTTTGCATCTGTTTGCCATCGGCGGCTAATGGCCACTGCCCGAATGATATTGTTCAAAATTACCAAAAAATAATACTTTTTGAATTATTACGCTTTAATACCCGAATTAAGAGACGTCTGAACTTCTGGTTGCTGCAGTCATTTTGGAATGATACAAAACAACCTTCACTCTAACTTGGCAAAAACTTATTAAAAGAGGGGTCATAAGTTCACTATCGTCAATGCCTGGGAATACCGAACTGCAACTACATGTAATAGGCACTGCACACGAACCACCATGCATCGACCTGTGCATCAGTCACAACAATGCACAAAACTGTTTCTATGTTGTCGCACGGTAGGGTTTAGCTGATCAAAAGTGTCACCAAGTTTGGTGGCAATTGAAGTCAGACTTTTCATATTACAGCACTAAACAGTTAACATAACCAAAATCAACAATGACCTCATTTGACCCCTAGACAACCTTTAACCTCTAATGTCTCAAGTCATCTGAAGTTCCCCTACCCAAATATAATTGTCACCAAGTTTGGTTGAGATTGAAGTCTGCTTTTTCATATTAC